AGAAGAAAAAGAATGAAGCAAAACTTCGCGAAGGAGAAAAACAAATGCTGTCGCTTTAAATGGGAACTGAGCATACCTGACTGGAATTCTCAGAGTTGAAGTCTAATTAGAGGAAGGGAAGGGAGAAAGAGAGAGGGTGGGGAGGGAGAAATGTGAACATAGAAGCAAGAAACGTCTGGAGGAAAGGGTATTGATTTTGCACTTTTGAGATTCAGAGGGGTTGTGAAACATTGTTATCCTGGGTGGTTATACAGAGAGCCAGATGTTTACATTGGATTTCTTATTTTCATCTACCTATTGAGTCCTTCCCAATAGGGCAGTGGGCCTCAACCTTCCTAATGCCGCGAGCGTTTAATACAGTTCCTCATGTTGTGACCCCCAACCATAAAATTATTTTATGTTTTCCGTATTTTTTCAAAAATATGTGTTTTCCGATGGTCTTAGGCGACCCCTGTGAAAGGGTTGTTCGACCCCCCCCCAGAGGGGTCCTGACCCACTTGAGAACCACTGCAATAGGGATAGGCAGATGGTGTTGCTTAGTAATATTAAGACATTCTTCCCAGAAGTAAGCTATTCCAAGTACATATAATCCTTGCTTAACTACCACAATTGGGACTTAATCGATCATTAAGCAGATGGATTCCCGAGTAAGGAGCAAGGGGTACTTTGGGAGGGTGGGAGATCCTAGAGGCTCTGCTCAGAAGCTGAAAAATCCGGCTGAAATCCAAGGAGGGTTTTAACACACACCCCCGAGGGAGAGATATTTACATAGGACCTGTGCAGTTTCTCCATCCTGAACAAAATAAAATAAATGATTAATTTAATTGTTATTTTTAATCTAATTTTTAAATTTTTATTGTTAATATTAATTGGTTTTGGTTTTGGATGCTTTATTTAATTTCCTTTTTAACATTTGTAATATGTGTGTTTTTTTAAATGTTGTACGCCGCCCTGAGTCCTTTGGGAGAAGGGCGGCATATAAATCCAATAAACAAACAAACAAACAAACAAACCAGTTGTCTCAGATCCCAGCTGGGAAAATTCTTTGCATCCTCCCCACCCCCAAAAATACACAACAGCCACAGAAAAGTTAAAAACACAACTTTCTACTTGTCACAATTCCTCAGACTCCTCTTATTTTTACGCCAAAGCTCTTAATATTATAATTATTTTAATCATATAAACTAACTACATTGTAAAACTCAGTCACATACCCTAATAGACATATTTCTTTCTGGCGGTGTTTATCTTTTGTTATTCCTGATTGGCCTATTACCAGCACAAAAGGTGTGAGGATTGCTCTGGTAGTTTTGAGTTAGGTGCCAATTCCTGGAGGAAACAGGGATGGCATTTATAGAAGAAGGAAAAGGAGCCATGAAGGATCCAGATCCCAATGCAGGAAGGATGTAATGTTCCCGNATCCAGAAAAATATTCTGCCTTTTCAATATTTCCTAGGATATTTCATTTTTCTGGGAGAGGGCTGGATGATAACTTCCTACACATATTTAGCAGGGATAGTTTGGAGGACCATGATATTTGCAGGCTTATGATGAGGGGTGGCAGGCACGGAGGATGCAACGACTGCCACCCCAAAAGGCCAGCAACTTGTGTTGCAAACAAACCAACCAACCAACAAATTATCAGTGGGGCACCTTGACTCATAAGCATTTAAAAACGCACTCCGGCACAAAAGAGGGAGGGAAGAACAGCTTCAAAAAAAATAAAACAAGCAATCCAAAAAGAGGCACTTGGAGTCAACACTCCAAAATATCAGATTCCATCCAGATGGAAGCAAATTCTCCAAAAGGCAGCTGTCAGAGACAAACAAACAAACAAACAAACAGTGGCATAGGATGGAGCCCTTTGACTCCGACATCAAAGAGGGAGGGAGGAAGAACAGCTTCAAAAATAACAGGCTAAGCAGCTTCAAAATAAAACAAACTTACTGCGGTATGTTAACTCAAAAGAGTGAATGATAAAGGTGCACAAGCAGGTCACCCATTTATCCCGAATTTCTCAGAAGAGAAGGAAAAAAATGATTAAAATGAGCAGAAAAACCGCAGAAAATGACGCAGAAGGAGGGGGGGTGCACACAGGCAATCACAGGTCACCGGATCCCTCCCACTTATCACTCCCGGAGGCGTCGTCATCCCCGCCCTTCCCTCCGCCACTCTGGGGCGGCCACCGGGGAGCTTCACGGAACTGAGGCTGCAATAGGGGGAGGGGGCTACAAGGCGGAGGGTGGAGCCAGAGAGGAGAGCGGAAGCCCCCCTCCCCTTCCCTCAGGCTGGGTCTCCGCTTCCCTCCGCGATCCCGACTTCTTCCTTGGAGGATCGGCGCTGGATCCCTCGCGTGGCAGGTGGGGCTGCTCTCCCTCCAGCTAGAAGATCTTCCCCGCGCCAGGAGGAAGGGAGCTGCGGAACCCGCTCTTCGGCTCGCCGGGTTTTCCTCGGGGGAGATCCGGCTCTGGCTTTGCCTGCAGGGAACGGATCCCTTCAGGGGGGACAAAGGGGGCTCCGTCCCTCGGTTGGAACTACCCCCTCCTCGGCCGGCCAAGGATCGCCGCCCCCCCCCCCGGTGGATCCGGGAAGGAAGCCTTTGGGGAGGTCGCTTTCAGAAGATCTCTGAGTAGTCGTTGGAAGAGGAATCCTCGCTCAAATGCAGT